GCCCCGCGCGGCTCCCGACGCCGGCGAGCGGCCCCGAGACGCCGGCCGGGCAGGCGAGGGGCCCGGCCACCCTCGGGACGGAGAGATGCACAACATCCCCTGTGAATGAGGCCTGGTCCCGCGCCCCGCGCCACCCACCCTGCCCTCCCGTGGGAGTTAGACTGACCGCCGGTTCGCCGGGTGATTGCGTTACATTGTTTTATTTCAAGCCAGAAAACAAATGACAGAATGCCTGCCCTACCCCTCAAAGACTTTCAGATGCGTCTGCGTGGAACTGGGGAGAGATGTAACGCAATTGAAACTTGTGGAGGAGAGGCAGCAACTTGGAAACGTTTGCAGGACTGTGCACTTTTCTGTCCTTCAAAGCAATAGCAATGAGAGAATAGAGGAGCATTTATGGCGGCGCTACTATGGGGAGGGCACACTGAAGAGGTTGTTGTTTGCAATCGGTACAACCACCCTGCAGAATAGTATTCCCAGTTTCTGATAAGGAAACTGAGGATGAGAGAGGTTAAGTAAGTTGTCCAGGGTCACACAGTTAGTTACTGGCAATGCCTGCCTTTGCATCCGCTCTCTTAAAAAACGTCAAAAATGGCAACAAAAATAAAGTGTGTTGTTTAGTAATATATATTTGGGTTAATAAAAAGACATTCAGAACATTCTAAAGACCCAACTCTGCTATCAATCACTGTATGACCTTGAGCAAATCAATTCCTTTCTCTGAATCTCAGATTCTTCAACTGCAAAATCAAATTCCTCAACTGAATGCCAAGCTGTAACTGGTTAAAGTTCATATTTTCCATTTACCTTTTTCACTAGGCTGTGTCTCCCGGATAATTTATTTTTTAATATACTTTCTCTCCCTCCTCACTCATCCAGCTCCTAAGCAGTCATGCTTAAGTCCAAGACAATAAATAGATAAAAACCTTAATTATTTTTCCTTAGAAAAGGTCATTAAACCCAGAAGTGCTTTAGAATGCTTTAGAAGCCTGAAGATAGATGGAGCAGTGAGGACAAAACTGACCTGGAAAATCGACTTTTTCTGCATTTAGAAACGCAGTTGCTCATGGGTCGCCGACCCTGCACACTTCATAACATTTACGAAAATATTTTTCCAAGGTGCCACATCATTAGAAAATCATTTTTCTTCACAATACATGGTGGAAAACATCTATGTAAATTACTTAAAAGCCAGGAGTAACAAATCCATTGGAATGCTTCAGGCAAATAGCTATGAAATTATATTTTGGAAATCAGACAGCAAAAATAACAGTCTGATTCTCAGGCAAAATTATCCATATGCTTGGGGGAGGGGTATGTTTTTGGTCAAGTCTTCTAACCTGGATCAGTCCCAGAACCTTTTAAGTAACTGACACTTAAGTCTGGTAACCCTTAGCCCCCCACTCCCACCTGGGTTGTTATGGACATACCAGTACCTTTTCAAGTTCTCAGACCTGGGGGTCACAAAAAAAGATGTGGCTGAATGTCTGCCTGCTCAGAGGCTGTCACTTACATCTTTATATTCCCCACCAATGGGAACCTCGAGTGTCTCAGGACAGATTCCTTTCCCATCCTGCGGTGTATCCATCAGCCATTGAAAACGCTGTTAACACATTCTCACATAAATTACTGGTGCAGGAAGCCGTCGTCCCTATCCCCATTTATCAATAGCTTTATGTACGCTGAATAAAAAGGAAGCCTTCTGCTGAAAATGACAAATAAGAACACCTACTTTAATGTCCAGATGCAGTTTGCAGAATTTATTCTTTATAGGGTTGAAAAGACACCAATCCATCAAAAGCCCCTTATTCCCTGAAGAGTGTTCATTTTTAAGTGAGCGAAGCCCACAAGCCTACAACAGCAAACTCTTCAGTTTAGAGTAAAGCAAAAGCATGTTTGGAATTTTTTTTAAAAACCAATGCTGTCATCATATTTAGGCTTCAAGTGACCTCAGAGAGTCTAGGAAAGCTTTCACACCAGCGAGGCTTCTGAATGGGAAAATAATCTCTTTGCAGTTTTTTTCTCTTCCCTCTTCAAGTGGCTGGAACCCCTTTTGTCAATGGCCTCCTGTGAATGGTGTTGCTAATAAGCCTATTAATGAGCTTCCACAGCCGAGTGTGAATAGGTAAATAAGCCCCAATCTGTTGAGGTTCAGGGCCGAGGGCAGAAAAAGCCAGCAAGAACTAAAGGTGACAGTTTGAACTGAACGAAGAGCGCCAGCACCAGGTTTCAGCTGAAAGAACCGCCAGACAAGGCCACATTCACAACCCCTCCAACCCCCCACTGGGGTCCCTATTCTTCACAATTTTCCCCCCTTTACAAAATGTCTTGAGTAGTCACCCTTTTTTTTTTTTTCAAAAGCCCTCGAGACGCCCTTCTTTTTTTCGCTCTAGTAATGATATATCAATGGAAGGAAGAAAAATGAGGACACCAGAACTCCGATGTCCCCAGAAGTTTCAAGCAACAAATGGAGCTGCTGGCCCCATGGTTCCAGGAAGAGAAATGGGAACCCTCGCTGCCACGGGCCTCTCTCCTTTAAAGATTTGGGATTTCTCTTTTAATAATTTGTTTTTTTAATGGGTGGCTGTTCCTTCACTCTATGGAAAAGTTAGATGAATAAAGGCTACTGATATCTAAGTGCTAAGGAGCCCTTCTAATGTGCTTCTGAGCTCCCTGCAAAACTATGAATTTCATTCTTTAAGCTGAATCTCAGTAATGTCTGTAGCATAAAAGAAGCATCTGAAAGGAGAAATATAGAATAGTCCAAGGACTGTGGTAAGAGCAGTTACCCCTGGAATGAGGGGAGGGGCTGATCCCCTGACAGCTCAATCCCATCTTCAGGGAGCTTTTGGCATTTAACTGAAGCAAAATCATGGATCCCATCATGGAACATCATCAATGATTCTAAACTTAGAACTGGGCCTGAATCTCAAAGCTGACTTCCCTGGAGACAAAGTCCTTCTGGAAGTCCTGCCTCACTTGGAGGTGAAGTAGCTTTGGTTCCAACAGGCAGGGTGCGGCTCTCTTCACTGGGTGGCTGTGTGACCATGGGCAAGTTACTTAAGTTCTCTGAGTCTTCCATTTTCTCAGGTATAAAATGAGGGCAATAATAGTACCTATCTTGTAGCTATTTAATAGGGTCACTAAGAGGATTAAATCAGTTCAAGTGTGACAAGCATTTAGACCTTCTTATTCAGATGCTCCCCGTGGTTCTAGAGAAAGTCTTTGTGCTCGTGGGAAATGCAATGTTTTCCTATGATTATTATTAGCCGTTGTTACTATTCCCACCTCCTGGGCCTGTTGAAAGGATTAAAGTAATTCTAAGAGCCTAGAACCCACTATCGCCACCTGCATATTATTATGGACCTGGTTTGAACAGAGTCTGGAGCCATTACTGCCGAATTCCCCATCCCCACCTCTACGCCAGCTGAAAGGCCTGGCCATGCCTACCTGTGACCTTCCCGAGATGGAACGTGGCTGGGAAAGGCAACCTGAGTCATACAAATGGCCATCCAAATGGAAGGCATTGCAATGCTCGTTGTTCTGGGGACCCACTGCTTCCCAGAAGCAGTCTGTGGGGGTGGCGAGGGAGGTAGACGGGTTGGTGCTGGGTAGAAGATGCTTTTAACACTGGTTGCACAATTGATCCCCAAAGAAAGGGCTTCTTTAAAAACATGAGGAGCATGTGAAAAAAATTGCCACTATGCCTTGCTCTGACAGTTTATTGGATTTCCAAGTGGCTTGAGTGACATGGGTAGGTCTTCCTAATGAGACTGGGCCCAAAGGTGAGGAAGTGTGTGTTAAACCATCATGTTGACTTTGCATTTTACGGAGGAGGAAAGCAGGGTGCAGAGAGGGGAAGTGACCGGCTCAAGGCCACCCCACTGATCTCCTGGTCAGGCTGGAGTTCATTCCAGTGGCCACCAGAGCAAGTCAGCCACTTTCACTGTCTATGCCAGGTGATTCGGCTCTTTCTGGGTGATTCAGCTCAGTACAGAACTGAGATATTTTGAGTAGAATTCATCGCCACCCAAAATGTTGGTATTTCCAAAGAACAATTACCCACTCAGGGTTCAGCCCACTTCTCTTTCTTCAAGTAGCTCCCAGAAGAATTTGTGTTAGGGTTATTATTGCTCTTAATGTTTCAAAGAACCTTCAAGTTCAGGCGCATAAGATTGTTGGACATCTCTTTTGCACACCTACAGTTTCATCAGCTGAATTTTCAGTCTTCAAAATAGGGGAAGAATTAAGGGCCAACATTTGTGGTTCATTAAATGATTCTTATCAGTGATATTATAAAAACAAATAGAAATGGAAGATTTTGAAGAATTGCTAAGGCTTGCGTTTGAGAAATTAAGATTTAAAAATCCGCCACACATCTACTATTTACAACTGGGTAACCAGGTCTGTTACTCAGAATGCAATGGAGGGGCAGTTTGGGAACTTTGACAGCATTCTGGTTCAAGAAAAGCAAAAATTGCTATAAAAGATAGTGGGAGGGGGAATAATTAGGGAAATTTTACTCTGGCCTCAACACTGTCCCCTAGTGCCACCCCTGCCCCCATGCTGCAAGTTACTCCCCAGCATCTGCCAATCTGAACATGTGAAGGAAAACTGATTGGTCAATTCACTGGTTGGCAAAATCAACCAGATGTAATGTCTACAATGCCCAAAGTGCAGGGTATTTGACAAGCAATGTTGTGCAGTAGAAACAGCACCAGGCCAGGGTACCCAAGACCTGGGTTTTCATCCCAACATTGTCAAG